TTTTTGAGACAGTATTTCGCTTTGTCACCCAGGCTGTAGCGCAGTGGCATGATCTCTGCTCACTGCAACCTCTGCCTCCTGGGGTCAAGCAGTTCCCCTGCCTCAGCCTCCTGAGTAGCTGGGATTACAGGAGCTTGCCACCTGACCCAGCTAATTTATATACATATTTTTAGTACAGTTTGGGGTTCACCATGTTGGCCAGGCTGGTCTTGAACTCCTGACCTCAAGTGATCCACTTGCCTCGGCCTCCCAAAATGCTGGGATTACAGGAGTGAGCCACCACACCTGGCTTTATTGTAGGTTTAGCTGTCAGGGGAAAAGAAAAGGAAAGATAAAAAGCTAGCCAAACTTCAAGTATCTAACCAAGTTTAAAAGAAGAAAAGGTATGGATGCAAAATAATTTTTATCATAGAATAAAAGATATGCTATTTTCTAGAATTCTCATGTGGAATATTTCTTAGGTGTAAATATGGTTACCAATGTAGAGGAAAATGAGAAACCACTGGAACCCCATGGCTCCTAATAGAGCAACAAGAGTAAAGGTATCATCAGCAACAAAGAAATAAAGGATTAGGTGTCTTTCCTTCAATACATTTGTAGTTCAGTTGGCTAGGTGATTAGATTTTATCCTTCAGGTATTTTTCTATAAAATATTTTTTGTGTGTATTTATAAATACTACAGTATTCAAATAAGCTGGGAAATAATGAGACTGACAGCACTGAGTTGTTTGTACCTATAATTCTATCTCCCTTTAGATTTTAAAATATGAAAAATAGTTTTGTAATTAGGCATCATGCAGTTTCGCAGATAGGATTCAGAAAATCTTTAGCTAAAGAAATATGCAAGTTATTTTAAGTTGTTTTAAGAATAACATAATGCATGCTTCATCTTTTTCATTCTAGCCTTTAAATCTGCAAGACAGCAGCCTTCCCAAAATGTCACTACTAAGAATTATTCAGAGGTAAGAAAAAAAGTTTTATAGTTGTGTATTAATAATTTATGTTTTCTGCATTATGAATTGTCAACTCTGCTTTACGAAGTAAATAAAAGATGAAAAAGTATGGAACATTAAAGCTGGAAGGTGCTTTACCAATTATCTCTAGAGTTTCTAGGATTTGATATTTTTTCTTGGTTGCTCTCTTTTTTTTAATAATGGTTATTATTATAGAAATCCATAAATGCTATATATACAGTTGAACCAAAAGAGCTGATGCATGGAATACTAATATTGAAGATGAGTTCAGTGCATATAGAGGCTTTATCTATACTGGGTTTCCTTTTCTTACTTATCTTCCCAAAATACTGGCTATGACTTAAGAGCTAATGCTAGACTTAAGATGAACTAAAAGGCTGGAGTCCAGTGATCCATGTGGTCTGCCCTAGGTTTAGCCTGGGCCTTCTGCTCTTCCTTTGATTCCAAAAAGAGTCAAAAGTGGGCTTGACCTCTATTATTACCTCACTTTCAAAACTATGTGTCTTAACTCCCAAGCCAGTACTCTTCCCTTTACATCAGGGTTTCTCCGTAGTGGTACTGTTGACATTTTGAACAGATAATTCTTTGCTGTGAAGGATTGTCCTGGTGCATTGTAGGATATTTAGCAGCATCCTTAGCCTCAGGAGCTGTTTGTTCAGTATTTGGTCCTTGGCTTCATCCTCATCTGCACTTCAGTTGGATGAAGATACGGCAAATATATGTATCAAATGTCAAGATAACAGAAAATGTAGAGAAATAGTATTTTGGATTATAGACTCAATGGTCAGAAATATCTTTATTGGGTCTTAACACTAACAAATGGTATTTAAAAGGGACAGATTCAACAGAAGGATATATAGTATTTCCCACATGGTCTGATACCTCATTTAAGGTGAGAGATGGAACACTGATGGTCTCTCATCAGAAACCAAGAGGAAAGTCACAAGGTCTGCATATGAGCCTATGCAAGTCATTCACAAATCTGACTGTGTTCCCTTAGGTGCTCAGGCACCTGGGATGGCCAGAACAGAGGTGAACAGAAAGTAACATTTGTGAATGAAGAGTGACATTGGAGGGAGGTCAGGCTGAGTATCAGTTTTAATAGTTATGGTTTTCTGTCTCCTTTTTTGTGGCTCATATATAACTAAGATTTAATTGTTTAATGCACTTCTTCATTTTCATTTTTATTCAGATATTCTGTTCTCACAAGAACTGTTTGGTGCTTTGTTTCCTTGCCAGGTGATTGAGGTAGATGAATCAGATGAGGAAGAAGACTTTTTTCCTACCACTTCAAAGGCAGATCAAAGGTAGGTGCAGCAATTTTTCTGGAAAAAGAAACATCGGAAAAAGAAACATCTGAAAAAAATTAAAAATTATCCAGAATTCCATAGTTACACATTTTTCTATGCCATAAAAGTTTTCTATGTTAGTTGATTTTCAACTAGCAAAGTATGAAGAGGAATGAAAACAGGCCAAGGGCTAGTTTATGGAGCTGATGCAGCATTAGTACAAGGATTTTCAGTGAAAATTGAAATCGTCTGTAATTTTTTTCCTTTTGACTTTATTAGTACTTTTCTTTCTTTTTATTTATCTATTTATTTTTTGAGACAGGGTCTTACTCTGTCGCCTAGACTGGAGTGCAGTAATGCGATCTTGGCTTACTGCAACCTCCACCTCCTGGGCTCAAGCAATTCTCCCACCTCAGCCTCCTGAGGATGGGAAATTCGTAGCTGGGATTACAGACATGCGTACCATACCTGGCTAATTTTTTGTACTTTTGGTAGACACACGGTTTTGCCATGTTGCCCAGGCTGGTCTTGAACTCCTGAGCTCAAGTGATCCACCCTCTTTGGCCTCCCAAAGTGCTTGGATTACGGATGTGAGCCACCACACTCGGCCTCCGTGCTTTTCTTAATAGAAGACTGTGTTCTCTCCTAACAGATAATGCCTTTGTATTTTGCTAACATTTGATTTCAGCTTTTTGTCATTGTTTATTTTTATATACTTGACTACACATGGTGCTGTATTAAACACTGAAAAGGGGATCACATAGACTCACTCTGCTTTCAGAGGACTTGCATGCTCTTCCTGTGTGTTTTGGAGTTTTTGCCTATTGTTGCTGTTAAGCCTGACTTGATTCACTATTATCGTTTGCTTTTATGCATTAACATTTTGGTTGCACATTGCTTAACTAAAGCTCGATTAATGAGAATTTCTACTTAACACAGTAATCAGCTGCCTTATTTTGTACTTATTTTCTGTTTGAGCATTTTATTAGGTCCGATGAGGGGCATATGCACGTTTTAATGTGGTCTCTGCCTTCAGGTAACTTCAATTATAGTGGAAAAGAGAAATAAATGTATTTTAATTCATCAGAGAATGAATTAGTATATAATTAGGTGTGGAATTTTATATTACAGACCCATAAGTGTGAGCACTTATGGGCTGGTGAAAAATGAAGCAAGGAATGTGACCTAAAAGAAGCAGCTTCATGGAGAGAGTAAAATTGACCTGAGGCTTCAAAGATAAGATTTGTCTTAGTAGGGTGCAGAATGGTGGTCCCAGCTGAGAGTAAAGGCCTGAGCAGGAACTCCAGAAAGAAGGGTGATTGGGGAAAAAGCCTTATATCAGTGTTTCTCAAGCTTTTTTTTTTTTAATGATCTCAGCCACTTCTTGATTATCCAAGGAGAAAAATTAATTAACTTAGATTTAGTTCAATTTCTCCCTAACATTAGAAATTAAATACCTAAAGAATGAATTTTTGTTGAGTAGGATTGAGTATAAGAGGGTGAAAAAGCATTGTTAATAGCTATGATTTTTCACCCTTGGAGCCAATTTTTGTTCTTTGACTGTGATATTGACCACACTGAGAATACAAACTGTTTGTGACTTAAAGGTTAATGTTAGAACAAGTATAAGTGTGGTTCCATATTCACTTATTGGCTCCTTTAAACATTATGCTAGGTTCTGGGGAAAGAAAGATAAAAGAAATATTTCTTTCTTCAAGGAATTTACACTTTAGTGGTATGCTAATTACAGGGCACTGCTAATCCACCAAGATAAATGTTTTATTCAGGTGTAATGAGATTTAAGGGATGTGCCAATGTCTTCCTGGGAAAGATCATTGAAGATTTTACAAAGAAGGTGGGTAACGTTTGAGCTGGTGATCAGCAGATCATTTAGGACGCATTAAAGGAAATTGTCTGGTGCAGAAAGAAGAAACAATGGCACAGGACATGGGCATCTACTTTGAAGGATGGCCGGGGAAAGCCTCTGAGAAGGCTACATTTAAGCCAAAATTTTAAGAAGGGAAACGTGGCCTTCCAAAAGGCAGAGGGACACGTGCATGCAGCCTGTATTAGTCCATTTTCACACTGCTGATAAAGATGTACAGAGACTAAGCAAGTTACAAAAGAAAGAGGTTTGGCCGGGCGCAGTGGCTCACGCCTGTAATCCCAGCACTTTGGGAGGCCGAGGCGGGTGGATCACGAGGTCAAGAGATCGAGACCATCCTGGTCAAAATGGTGAAACCCTGTCTCTACTAAAAATACAAAAAATTAGCTGGGCATGGTGGCGC